TATATATATATATATATATATATATATATATATATATATATATATGTGTGGAAGTGAAAAATACAAATATTTGTGTAGCATAATTTAAGTGGGTTGAATCATTATATTATTTAAATACAAAGGCATACTTCTATTGACAAATGTGGTAAATACTCCTATTGACAAATGTGATACTATTATTTACGTTGTTTTTTAAAATGTGTAACTTGTATATAATTCTCTAACACTTAAGTCCTAACAACCCTAGTATTTGGAAATGTGTTTGTTTTATTTCATAATTAATTTAAAGTCTTAAATAGAAGCCCTTTACCAAATTCTCTCATTCAATCACTTTTTTTTTTCAAATACCACAAGTTCTCATCCAGCACTGAGTTGAGTCAGGATTGAGCTCGAACTCGTTAAGTTAACAAACTAATGAAAAAACTCAAACGTGACTTGTTATCAAGTCAAAATTTGTTAAACGTTCAAAATATTAAGTCAAATTATTTTTTAAGCCTTATAAGTGTTAATGGATGAAGCTCATTAACTAAACGAACTCAAACTTAGCTTTTTTAAGCTTGAACCTTAAAGAGTTGAATCTACGGATGACTCGTTTCATTTAGTAGCTTTCGTGAACAAAATAAATTCATTTTTAACTTAGTTGACACGTTTTATACTTAAATTTCATAAAACAAACTCAAATTTAATTTAAATTTGGAAATAACAAACTAGAGGATGAGCCTATTTATAAAGTATAAACAAGTGAATTGTTGATCTAATCGCAATATAACATTTTCACTTATTTCCTACTAAATTTATTGATTTCCAATTCAAGAATATCAGATTGGTCAAGTTGGCCCCTTGAGGAGTTTGCTTTCATATATACAATCCATGTTTTAAATATCGTACCGTACCAGTCGGTAATACCGGATACCGGTCATAGGTACGGTACAATTACACTCAAAACCGGATTTACGGTTATACCGGTTTGTACCGGGATCATACCGTAAAAACCACAAAATACCGGTCCAAAATACCGGCTAATAAAAAAAATTAAAAAAATTTAAATTTTTTTATTGAAAAAAATAAAATTTAAATTGGTAGTTAAAATATTTTATTTTTATCTCATTGAGAAGCTGAAACTAATGATTATGATCACTTATTTTTTATTTTTTTGCATTTGATATTATATATTTTTATTTATATGTATATAAATCATTATATTTGTTAATTCAGCAATACCATCGATATTACCGGTTCGATCGATAATACCGCGTATCGGTGGTTAGACCGATATGACCACCGATACAATATTTAAAACACCGTATACAATCTGAGACCTTTTTTACTTATGTAAAAGATAAAATCACAAAAAAGAGAACAATATTTTAAACCACATTTCACCCTAAAAGCAACCATCTTCAAATCATTAGTCAATACTCTATGAAGGCAATGTGCTTCTTTTCATTGTACCTTAGAAACGTACAATGGCGTATAGCGAGTATCGTGAAGGGGTGTACAAATGGACTGATGCAGAGGATCCATGCACGAAGAGTATACCTAGACATGGCCGCGGGCCGGTTCATGGGCTGATGCAGAGGATCCATGCACAAAGAGTATATCTAGACATGGCAGCGGGCAACCGGCCAGATAAGGGCCGGTTCGTTGGACCGAACCGCAAGGGCCGCGGTTCGGTCCCGATTGGCTCTATTTCTTTTTTTGTCCCGGCGGTTCGGGCCGGTCCGGGCCGGGTCGCGGTCCAAAATTGGGCGGATGTGTGTCTTTTTTTTTTAATTCTCCGGGCCGGTTCATCAGCACTTTCTGGTTCGGTTACGGGTCAAGGTGTTGAGGACCGTTGGCCCGGCGGGCCGGGCCGAGCCGGGCCCGGACCCGTTGACTGGCCATGTCTAAGTATATCACCGCCATTATATTAAGTGGGCCACACTCTGTCAAAGTTGTCAATGGTTTGGGATTTTATCATGGATATGGATATGAACTAAAATTCAACTCATAGGATATATTTTTTTTTTTCAAAACATTACACTATTTTTCACACTTAATTAGTAGCATAATATTTAAAATAAAAATGAGAGTTATTATAAAATTTCATTCATTTCATTCATATACTTTTAGCACAAGTGTTGTTGTTAGTCTGAGGTCGATCACTTATACTTTTTGAACGAAAATGGAGTTATGAATTATCATAAATTTATTAATATTTTTTTAAAGTGATATTCCAATATTGAAATATTCATATTTATTAAAAAATTATAACTACCTAAGGATTTCTTTAAGAAAAAACATATCATAAGAATTTCTTTTTGAAGCTCAAAAGGTTGAGTTAAGATTGGGCATTACAGTAACGCCCCCATTACAGTCCAACTATATTATGGTTAGTGGGCCGAAGTCGACCTAAACATAAATTTATGAGCTTTTAGCTCGAGATATCAGTCAAACCCTTTAATGAAGAATTGATTTTGTTTTCATTTTTATTTATGAGAAAATTACTCTATACACCATAAATTTCAGTTTTTATTATACAATTAAATATCTATTATAAATATTAGCAATTCTACTCAAATTCATGTTTTTATTTGTAGATATACTAGAAAATAATGTAATCATCAATTACAGATTTTTAAGGAAAAACTCTTTATCTTTATCTCTCTTCTTCGTCGCTCTCTCCCCCCTCCCTCTCTCTTCTTTTTCGTTATCTCACCTCCTCATCTCTCTCTGTCAACGACCCATTATCCTCTTCTACTCCTCTCTTCTTTTTTTCAATTGTGATCTGCGCAATCATTTAAATATAATCGATATCTGTAGCCCCAACGATGTGCAACAAATCTAGAGGAATCAGAGGGACACGCTTGGGCACGGCCACATCCGGTGGCGCACGTACTCCGTCGCCCTTCGGGGCGGTTGCTGGTGACAATTAAACAGGAAATAAAAAAATTCAGATGAAAAGTGATGAAGAAAAAAGAAACAGGAGAAAAAAGAAGATGAAAAAAGAAGGCGAAGGCAAACAGAGTCGTCATCGGTCCGAGCAAGGATTTCGAATCGGGCTAGGGCGTCGCGGGCATGACCCGGGGACCCAACAGGGAGATACTGGAGGACGAACGCAAATGACATATATTGAAACTTTTGATTATGTTAAGTATATGTTATGTATATAACACGATTATGTTATGTATATATGTGCATGAATGATATATTTACAGTTGTTTTTAAGACTGTGTATATGCGATATTTACATATTAAGTATATAACACGAATATATTATGTATATGTGCATGTATAATATATTTACAATATCTTGATTTTGCAACTTTGTAGTTGTTTTCAAAACTGTATATGCGATGTTTATATATTGTATATATTTTGTAGCGTTAGCTCATCACAATCGTTTGATTTCGACACAAAAAAAATAAAATAAAATAAAAAATCACATTAAACCAGAAAATTTACTGTAAATATATGAAAAAACGCGAGACACAAAAAGTAAACAAAGAACAGAGTTTCGGAAAAAAAATACCGGGTTTATTTTGTATATATCACATTGAACCAGAAAATATCTAGTAAATACACAGAAAAAAAAAACAATATGTTAATAACACGAAAAGTAAGTAAAAAAAGAGTTTCGAAAACAAAAATTACCAGGTATAATTCGTATATTTTACGGGCTTATATCATTATGATTTAATGATATTCTTGATCGCGTTGCTTTATGTATCGTTAGAAGATGATAAAGTTTAAAATTCAGAATATATATCTTTCAATTTTGAATTGACCAACTTCCTAGATATTAGGATATACACTTACCATATCTTTTTATTTTTCTAATGCTAAAAAAATTGAAATCTCATTATTTCCGTGGATTAAGGAAGGATTATCTTTTTAATTTGGTAACTGATATGTTCCATTATCAATAATAAATACCATGCATTTGGTAATGATGCAATAAAAGATTATCCTCTCGTATGATTGCAATTAAGCACAATTCGTTGTGTAAGTATAAAATTTTCCCATTATTTATTTATTTAAAAAAAAAAAACAACAACTTGAATCCGATCCCGTACTTTAAATTGTGGTGCTAACGCTGTTTTCTACTTGATCCCGTACTTTAAATGGTCCTAACGCTTATGCTATTTATCCTTTGAAACCACATTATTCCATGTTAAGGGTTGAACTAGTTTATTACAAGTCAAAAGGAAATTCCACTAGTAAAATATTATGCATGTTGATAGTGGAGAAAAACCGAAATTTGAATGCATAATCAAGTGTTATCTTTTCAAATTCTCAAACTATGTCATTGGATGAGATAAATTGTGATTTCTAAATTCTTATGATCCTATCCAAGTCTAGCCATATGTTTTAAGAAAAAATGATTTTAGGTTTATTGGTAATTATGTTGGACTACATTTTTTTTTTTCCTTTTCAATATATGTTTCTGATTTCCATACCATTGATTTTAGCTACATTTAAGATATGATGTCAGGAAGATTTGGAGGGTAACAAGGTAAATACACTCTGCCATGCTTGATCAAATGTTTAGTGTTGTTATCGTTGTTGTAATGCAGCAATGTAATATGAAAACAATAGATTTATATTTTCCATGCATGACCTATAACTAATTAGGATTCTGACAAGTTTTCTGGAAGCGAAGCTGATTGTTTGTTCTTGCATGCGCTGGCTCCTGTTGAAGATGGAAAGCTTCACATTTTCCTAGTTCAAAGTAGATTCTTTGCAGCATCACAATTCAATGTAGCTTTAACTGTATTTGTTGGAATATTTTTTAATAATTATCAGCTAACAAAAAATTACAACAAATATTCAATTAGCGCAAAAAATTAGTACGAAATTTTTTGTTTTGACTAACTTTTCAATTGTCAAGTATAAATTATCAGCTCAATATTTACGTGTGGCTTATTATTAATAAACTTGTATTTTTTTAGCAAAATTTAGCAAAGATGAAGATTTGATTCGAGTATAGTGGTGATTCTAACCGAACCACATGCCCATCACTAATAGATCCGACCCGAAGACTTGAGAGTTAGAGACTTTATTTTGGTGGGTAAGAAGCCACATCACACAGCTTTTTACCCGGAAATTCTACGTTACGTGTCCTCCAATTAACGAACCACACACTCACCAGGTTCATATCAAAATTCAAAACTCTCTCCTTCCCCAGTCCCATTTTACCTTATTGCCCCTTGGCTGACCGGCAATCACACAGGGCTATAATCGTCAATCCATACCCACCATTTGCCCCAATTCATTCTATTTCCCATCGACTTTCTTCAGCCTCTCGCCCCTCAAATTCAATCCAATCTTTTTCTCGTAATTCCGCCTGTATCCCCTCCCATGGCCGCCATCTCCAGCCCCACCTCAAACCCTAGCTTCATCTCCCCCATGCTGCAGCCCTACCTCGAACAGCAGCAGCAGCACCACCACGTCCAGCCGGACCCGCCGCCGGACGACGGATCCCCCCACGACGACGTCTCCGATGACTTCAGCCGCGATCCTGCCCCTACTGCCGACAACGATTCCGTTGTTCCCAACCCTAATCCAAACCCGAGCTCAAACCCTAGCCCGATCAAGCTCCTCCACGTCTCCTTCAACCAGGATTACGGCTGTTTCGCCACGGGGACCGACCGGGGCTTCCGAATCTACAACTGCGACCCTTTTCGGGAGATCTTCCGGCGCGATTTCGACGGGAACGGCGGCGGTGTTGGCGCCGTCGAGATGCTCTTCCGGTGCAACATCCTTGCCTTGGTCGGCGGCGGGGATGCGCCACAGTACCCGCTGAACAAGGTCATGATTTGGGACGATCACCAGAGCCGCTGCATCGGGGAGCTTTCCTTCAGGTCGGAAGTGCGCGGGGTCCGGTTGCGGAGGGATCGGATTATTGTTGTCCTCGAGCAGAAGATTTTCGTCTACAATTTCGCGGATTTGAAGCTGCTGCATCAGATCGAGACGATTATGAACCCCAAGGGGCTCTGTGCTGTTTCTCAGGTTGCGGGTTCGTTTGTGTTGGTCTGCCCGGGGCTGCAGAAGGGGCAGGTCAGGGTGGAGCATTACGCTTCGAAGAGGACTAAATTCATCATGGCTCATGATTCCAGGATTGCGTGCTTTACGCTCTCTCAAGATGGGAACTTTCTGGCTACGGCTAGCAGTAAGGGAACATTGGTTCGGATATATAATACACATGATGGGAGTTTACTGCAGGAGGTACAGTGTTGGGGTGTTTAACTATGATTAATTTTCCATTTCTGCATGTGATTGAGTTTGATTTTATAGTCAAATGTGTTCCCTGGTGACTGTTTCATGCTGTAATGAGAAACTACATGCTGTGTGGTTTTGATATGCTTGATTTTTGTTGATGAAGCAAGAAGAGTGTGTCATACTCTGCGCATTAGAGGTTTTAACTTTGTTCAATGGGCTGAGTTGCAAATAATTGCAATTTTAAATATGTATTGTGTATGGTGCTAGTGCCACCGTGTCCCAATCACAAGTCGAAGTCAGATGGACTGTATCCTATCACAAGTTGTAGTTGAATGGATCAAAAAGTTTCAAATATGACTATGGCATCTATATGTATCATTTGTTTTCTGGATCTCTACCTATTTGTGTAAATGGGGCTGAAACCTTTGCATTTATTTATTTTTTCTCTGTAGAGATATTTTCTTGTTATCTCAAATTATTTCTCTAGTCATAATGTTGTGTTGTAATAATGTGGATTGGGTACCTAGTGATTGCTGCCAGTTATTCATGCGGTTATGTCTATGGATGTAGTGAAAAACTCGTTTTTGTTTTTTGCTTTTGTCTTCTGTTATTCGTGCTGTTATTGATTTGTCTGCATTTGCCAACAAATACCTGAGAATAATATCCACTGAAAACCTGGTGCAGGTACGGAGGGGTGCAGACAGGGCAGAAATTTATAGTCTGGCATTTTCACCCACAGCTCAGTGGCTGGCAGTCTCAAGTGATAAGGGCACGGTTCATGTTTTTGGCCTTAAGGTTAACACTGGGAATCCTGGAAGCGAAAGGTCGAATAGCCCTGAACCAAATCCTTCTGTTGGGACTTCAAGTTCTTCCTTGTCTTTCATTAAAGGTATAATGATTTTATTACATATGCTCTTTCTGTTGAAAATTACGTCACAGGCTGTTCTTTGCGGAAAAATGATGAAGTTGAATGATATTTGCTTACTTGATGTCCCAAGGAAACTAAGACAGTAAATTAGTTTTTATTTGCACTAGCCCTGTTGTTTGAGAGTTATGTTAGGAGTAAAGGGTCTGAAATTAATTCACATTGGGGAGGATTTATTGGAATAAATAAAGTGGAACAATGGTAGACGTATGTTTATTTCCAACAGCATGATAACATGCCCAATAGCTATTAAGGGTATCTCTGCCGTTGCCTTGTCTGAACTCCCTCACTCCCTTTTATTTGATTACTTATAAGAAGGTAATAATTAAAGAAAAGGTAAAATTACAATTTGAGTAGCCTTCTATACCCAATGTGCCAGGATCCCAGTATTCCATCTAATCCCATAAACTTCGTCTCATATGTCATCATCGATTTTATTTCTTTCCAAACTGTTCCTTGAGTAAACTATCCACTGTGTCTTCACCCTTTTTCCTGCATCTCTATCAATGTAATAAAATGAAAAACAAAGCTCTATGCACCATATTTGTGGTGGAACCTTTGATATGTTTTTGTTTTTTCAGTGCTCTGTTTTCTTGCTTAACTTTCTCTGTTCTTGTAAATAATTCCATTTGTTATGTTATGTTCTTTTTATTGCTATTATTACTAATACTTCTGTGTTATGACTAGGAGTGCTGCCCAAGTACTTCAGCTCAGAGTGGTCTGTGGCCCAGTTTCGTTTACCTGAAGGATCACAGTATATTGTTGCTTTTGGGCACCAGAAGAATACAGTGGTAATTCTCGGCTTGGATGGAAGGTTAGTCAAATAACACCAACACGCAGTCTCAATTAACCGGAAATTCCCCCTTGTTCTAGTTAATATCCAGTTACTCTGCTTTTAGGCTGTGATTGGATANTACTTAACTCAACTTTAACACAACCCCAATATCATCAATGATATAAATATAATTAAATAATATCAACCAATCATTCTTACACATCACTTCAACTTTAATTCACTAGTGTTCCCACTCACATAACTTTAACTAACCATCACTTCACATCATCTCTCTCCTATTTTTACATCAAATCAATTTTAATTATTTTTTTTAATTTAAACTTAAATTCCCACTAACAATTAACCATACTACATTTTTCAAAATTAACTATGGTTAACAAAAAAACCAATCAAATCCATACTCATATATTATTCTCGGTTTAAGGGGTGTGGAAAATTAATCATGTCCCGAAATAGAAACTACCTCCTTAAGCTATTACTAACAAGCTGTGAGTTCTTTTTATAATTAAATCCAACTTCAAGTCGGGGGTAATTTTTTGTTATTGTACACTCCACTCGCCATTGGTCTGAATCTGTTGTCTTTTACAACCACGGGTATCTCTCGGTTAGAACTCATGATTGCTACAATTGGTCTTTATGCAGTTTCTACAGATGCAAATTCGACCAGGCAACTGGTGGGGAGATGATTCAATTGGAGTATCACAATTTTCTGAATCCGGAAGAATCTTTCTAGCATCGCAAGGTCGATTCGCGAGGATGTAATGCATTGTCTCATCTCATCTGTGTTTTTTCCTGCTAATTTCTGGGTACCACACTAATGTAAATATCCAATGTAAATGTATGTAACCAAGGGTTTGAAACCCGGTGATGTGTAAGGAGTCTTGAAGTTGAGAAAAGAAGCTGCCTGTAAGATTTGTTTATCTGCATGATTTACCCTCTGCTTAATTTGTGCTTTGATTTTTTTTTTTTTTCTTTTTCTTTTTAACACTACCATATTTCTTGTTTCTCCGATTTTCTCTTTTGAATTATAGTCTGTTTACTGTCTAGTTTATATGATCAACCAAAAAAAGGCCTTTTCCTGAGCACCTGTTTGTTTCCTTCCTTGTGAGGAGAAATTGTTTTTTTTTCACCTTTTGGCTTTTTGCACCACTTGTCTTGAGTTTGTTAATTTTTATGATGTATGTGAACATAAATTACATATGTTAGTTTAGTACAACAGGAACGACAAGGTGAGAAAAGGTGTGTGAAATATTAGAGCTGGCTTGAGTTTCTTATGCTCAAGCTCAGAGTCTTTATTGAGTTGAGCCGATAAATGGGTTCGAGCTTGTTTATCCATATAAATGAAATGAACTCAGGCTTCAACTAGCCAAGCTAAGATAAAAGTTCGAAAAAAAATGTGTGAAAACATTTTTCTAGATCCTAATGAACTTTAAGAAGCTCGGCGGCTTTTTAATTAAATGAACTTTGAAAGAATTCAAGCTCGGCTCGTTTAGCAAATGAGTTGAGGTAACGAGCGACTTTGATTGCATCTATATATAAACGAGGGCTTTAATATACTTTCATTTAGAAAACTTAAGTATCAGTGGACAAGTGTATGGAGAAAGAAAAAATTCAAAAAAATTAGGTAAAATATAAAATTGAAGATAGGATGATTAGGGTTAATGCAACGTAAAAATAATAAAACGGTTTATAGTAGTTAAAAATATTTGTATGAATATTAGACTTATAAGGAAATTTATAGTTGTGATTGAATTTCTAAACTGATTTTATTGGCATTAAACAAATGTACTATCTCGCACTGAAAACTAATATTCCATTAAGTTGTCAATTTTGAATATTGAGATTATATAATGTACAGGCCCCAGACTCTTCTATGTGACCAATTGATTTATTTATAAAATATAAAATAAAACGTATGATGAAATGGACACCACGATTACCTTAATAACGATGGAGAAAAGAAAATTTAACTAAAATAGAGATATTTTTCTACAATCTGCTTCATTGTGAACTTTTGGTTAACATCAAAATAGACACAACACAAATACGAATATAATATAACGAGAAATATGATTATAAAGATAAATAAATAGCTAAATGAACACCACACACAACAATATGAAACACAATGCGAGAAAGCAGAAACTAAAAAATTCAGTTAATTTTATATTTTGTATCATACACGACACGCAACAATATTGAAACACAATGCGAAAAAGCAGAAAGAAAAAATACTCAATTTTATATTTTGTATCCTACTAGGATAGATTATCCAAAAATACCATTATAAAATACAAATAGAATAAGATAACACGATTTATCATCCTTATTCATGATTCGTAATTATTTAAAATTAACGTAACTTGTCACGCACTCCTACCTAAAGTCCACAAAATAAATAAATGGCAATTTGTTTTGAATTTAACCACTATAAAAGCCCACTTCAAAGTACCATCTTCTCTACCATTCTCAATAATCCTCACATCTTTGATTCAGTCTCTTGTTTGATTTGCTTTGAATTTGATTAGCAGTAATTAATGGCAATTAAGGTCCATGGATATCCTTATTCACCAGCAGTACAGAAAGTTCTCATCTGCTTAGCTGAAAAAGGTCTCGACTACGAATTAGTTCATATAGATCTATTAGCCGGTCAACAGAAGGAGGAGCCCTTTATTTCACTCAATGTAAGTCACAAAACATGCATGTTAATTNCTCTTTGGTAACTAAATTTCCTTGGTTAGAAAAACATTTTGTCAATTGGTTTGATACACAAATTCTTATATAAGTCGAACTATACTATTTGAACAAAAACTAATATTTATGTTATTAAATATTGTTTATTTTAATTCTTTAAAGTATAATATTTCTAATAAAAACATACATATTTGTAAAAACAATATGCCTACCTGTCTTAACATTATACCGACTCTTATTGATAATTGCAATAATTAGGGGTGGCAATTCATTATACTGATATATATGAGATTTGTCATTTCTGAACTAATTAACTTTCTATTCTAATCAAGTTATATGGGTCACTTCCAAATGATATATGTAATAAACTCAATACTTTATTTTACAGTAAATATGATATATATGAATTTGTTATCTAATAAAGTTATAAAAGTAAGATATTTTAAATTTACAGTAATTAAATAAACCAGTGAAAGAACATTAATTGTTATAAAATAACTCCATTATATCACATAATAACTCAATTTATTTACTCTTTTTCAAATAAATTATTATTGTTTTTCTTTTTTTTTTTTTTCCATTCATGAACCCTAGAATCAAGGGCTATAACCAAATACATAGCATATGCATATGCGGACAAGGGGACGCCACTTCTAGTCCAAGACCCAAAGAAGCTTGCAATTCTTGGAGTTTGGGCCGAAGTTGAGGCCCATAGATTCGATGCGGTAGGCCAAAAGCTCAACTATGAAATCCGGGTCAAGCCCTTTAAGGGCCTAACCGCTGACGAGGCCCTGGTCGAGCAGTTGGAGGCCCAACTAGTCACGGTTCTTGACGTATACGAAAAGCGTCTAGCAGAATCGAAGTACTTAGCTGGAGATGATTTTACGTTAGCTGACCTTCATCATGTGCCCATAATCAACTCTTTGATGAAAACAAAGGTCAAGGCTTTGTTCGAAGAGCGCCCGAATGTGAACGCTTGGTGCTCCGAACTCTTGGCCCGACCTGCATCACATAAGGTTCTTTCCAAATTCACGTTCTGACTGGTTTTCGAAAGTTGTCGATCAAAAAGATTATAATAATAATAAGTTAGACTACGTTCTGACTGGTTCTCGAGAGTTGTCGATCAAAAAAATTAAAATAATAATAAGATATTAGACTATTAGCTTTGTTTCGATTCGAAGTTGGGAGTTGACTTTAATTTTTTGTTTTGCAAAATTTGTGTTGTGGTGAAGTGATGTCAAATGAAATGTCATATTTTTGTTTATGTAATGCAGGTAATAGAGATGTACATCTCTATTACTATTATTTTAATGCATTTTTAATTAATTTAGTAGGAATTAAATGATTTATGGCCCAGATCAAATATCCTTTTGGCATTATCCTCCAACTCCATTAATTAAACATAATTAAAGTCAATAAAGAAAAGAAAAAAAATCTCTAGCTACTTGATTGTGATGAGTTCCAAAAGGGCAAAACAAACAGTTGCAATTCTTTATTTGTAAGTTGGCATTAGTAAGATGAGAATGAGTAGCTCAGTTATGGCAGCACTTTTCACTTGACACTAATAAGCCCCGAATTCGAATCATTCAAGGGGTAAATGAGAAATCACTATTGATGGTATTAGTAAAACAATAGTAGTCAATAGCGTTGTCTGCTTAGTCAACGTTATTTGCAAGCTGGCATTATTTAACAGTTACTATAAAATACTCTAAAACGTAAACTAAAACACGATAATAATATATCTTTTTGAAAAAATAAAATAAAAACAGGAAGCAGACTCCTATGTTGAAGAACAAAAGATTAGTTCTGTAAGAAAAAATTGGTTTTGTATCGATTTAACGATTCTACTTTTCGTAAATAGAAGACTTAGGAAATTCTCAAAATCTTTTTAAGGTGAATGAGAAATTAATTCTAAGTGTTATATGTTAATTAATTGAGTTTAAATAACTCAAAGGTTGTAGGGTTCACAAATATTCTATTTTGACAAATGTTTGGACGAACTAAACGAGCCATAATTATGCATTATTATGCTAGAATTGTAGAAAGGCTCGTTTGGGACAAGTAGGAAAAAACGGAACTCGATTCCGAGTCCGTATGAGCTCATACGAGCCCGCGGCGCACGGGCGCGCAACTGGCTGCGGAAATCAAAGGGTCGCAACCCTTGGTGACCATAAGGTATCTTTTGGCCACTAGATGCATCTGTTCTCGTTCGGACACGTCCCAAAAGGTGTCTTTTGGCACTTAAACCTCTTTGAGGTGTTTCCCTACATCTATAAATACCCACATACTTGAAATCATTAAGATTATGAAAATTAGAGAGCTCTTGCATTACTTTTCAAAGATCATATAACATATTGCGTTCCTTGATTTTTTCATTGAGTATTGAGAGTTCCAAACAATAGTAGTGTTTGCCGAAGGCTTGTATATTTGAATTACCACTATACACAAGTCGAAAGTCGTTGTATCTTGGAGGCGTTTGCTGTTAACCGTGAGTATTTTACGGGGTAATTTCGTCTTAAGGAGAACGTAACTATTACGTGCCTCGACTTTGATTTTTTGTTTCGTTTTCTTCATTCTCTTTAAGCCGTCTTTTTGATATTCACAAACAACAAATATACTACAAGTTCAACTATGAGGGAATATTAAATTGCATCACAATACCTTCTTATTTTCAAATATAAAATTCATTATTACTTAAAAAAAATTATTAAAACCAATCAGTGAATTTGTTTTATTATTATTATTTCAATTTAAACATGCTTGGAGGTTTGGATTTGAAATTTTGAAATCCACACCACCAAATCCTTTCCATCCAAATAAATCAACCCCAACTGAACTTGAATTTAAGAGTGTGTGCAAGGCGTTACTTGTTTTGATCTTTAAATACCCAAACTACGAAAATGCAATTTGTTTCACTTAATTTATTCGATATTTTCTTTCAGAATCTAATTTAAATCCCAAAAACAAAGTCACTGAAGAAGGCCATATAAAATTTTTAGGATACACAAAGTGCATAAGAGAGACAGAGTTCAAAATTTTAAAGATAAATTACAAATAGGTTACAAGACAACCAAGTCTTCACAACAGCAGATAAGTACCGTATACAAATTACAAAGCTCATCATGAGAAGCAAAACAAAAGTATGATGAAATGTGGTTTTTAAATTATAAATGGTACAACAAAGGTAGCTTTTCTATGCCAAATAAAATGTGGTTTTTAAATTTTATATAAACGTTTGACTAGGCAATTTTCTCATTATTCGTAAACTGTAAAAATAAAATGTATGATGAGTTAATGGACACCAATCCATGATGAACTTATTCTAACATTGGAGAACAGAAAATTTGACTAACTTAAATATATTTTTCTACAATCTGCTTCATTAAGAACGATTGATTAACGTTAAAATATACACAACACGAATATAATTAGAGAATATGAACACGATACGNGCAAAAAAAAAAAAACCACAAAATAAAAAAATTAGTTAATTTTATATTTTGTATCAAACTGAGGATAGGAAAGATCGATTATACCGAAATACGATTATAAAACCCGAATACAGTACTATATCATTCATAATCACGATTCATAAAATTTAAAAATATATAACGCAACTTGTCACGCACTCCTACCTAAAGTCCACATAAAAATAATAAAATTAAATTAACGCCTTAACTTGCCCACTCTCCACATGATCCAAATTTATTTATCTCCCACATTTTTTGCGTTATGTCATAAAATATAACTATACCACCACTATAAAAGCCCACTTCAACGTATCATCTTCTCAACCATTCTCACTAAACCTTACAACGTTTAATATTTAATCTCTTGTTTAATTTCCTTTCAATTTAATTAGCAGTGATTAATGGCAATTAAGGTCCATGGATTTCTTTTTTCACCAGCAGTACAGAGAGTTCTTATCTGCTTAGCTGAAAAAGGTCTCGACTACGAATTAGTTAATGTAGATCTGTTAACCGGTCAACAGAAGAAGGAGCCCTTTATTTTACTCAATGTAAGTCACAATACATGCATGTTAATTTGGTTTAATTTTGTTTAATTGCTTACTTCTAATAATGTCTGTTAATTTGATTAAGCATGTGCTAATTGCAATTTTTTTTTTTTTTTTCTTTTTTTCTTTCCT